TGACCCCAAGGGAGCCCTCCTACGCCGGATTTACTTCAGCGACATGCTCCACCATTTGGTTTGGGGATTACTACACTTGGCTGCTCTGTCCGTGATTCGAATGTCAACTAGCTAATAAAATATGACTTTTTTTAACTGTCCAGTATTAACAACCTATTACCACTAGCCTAAAAATTGCAAATACTACTGGATCATGGTGGAGGCTGTTACATCATTTTTCTGCCTATATAAACACGCATCTGGGCATTAGAAATTACTACAAATAAGAAATTTTATCTCTTATTCTGTAAATATTATACTCAATTTTACATATTTTGTGAAGTACGCCGAGAATTCTAAAAACCATTTATGATTGTTACACAATTGGTTTATTTGATCATTGTATTTTGGAGGTGATTGTCTACAGATGTGTCATATCAGTTATCGACAGACAATTTCATTTTAGGACATCCTGCGTCACATGACTCTATCAATCGATAAGTTTTATTTCCGCTGTCATTAACGATTCACAAATATAGCTTATGTATGAAGAGTTTGAAGAGACTCATTAGAGTCTTCCCTGAATTTCCATCGTCTCCAGAACAAATGAAGAAGTAATTGAATTACTTTTAATTTTCACGTTAGTTCAAAAATGTATTATCAAAAATGCATTTTTACAAAATTACCAAAAAAAAATATATTTTTAAAAAAATATCAAATCAAACAAATTTTGAACATTTATAAAATTGAAATTTAGAACAGTTTGAAAACAGCAAATCACACGTATTAAATATTCAAATCAGAACCACAAATATGATCTTGTCATGATTTTTCCTCCGCAAGTTTTTGGTCCACCGTCTTATCTCTATAATTTTTTCTTTTTTTTTTTTTACATTTTTATTGATATCAGTGTTCTAAAAAGTGTAATGTGTGTTGATGCTAGGAGGTCAAGTTTCAGACAAGACAAGCCTAAGAGAGGCCTAAGCGTAAAAGGCATAATTTTTTTTTTCATATTTTAATATTATTTTAAATTTTTAATCAATCTAAAAATCATTTAATAACTAAAATAACACCTAGTAAACATCTAAAAAAGATTTTTAGGAACTTTATACGTTTTTTTACAAAATTTTCATTAAAAGATAAATTTCAAAATTATAATTACATAATGTAAATAGTATAGGAGTTTAAATCTTATCAACTTGTTATCGAATTCCAAGTCAATATCATTTTTTTTCATCTAATTTGTCATTCGTATCGTCCGATACAAAATCAACCTTCTAAGAATTGTAAAAGAAAAAAAATATAGGCGCATAGACGTGTCTTAAGTGGTCAATATTGTCGTTAACTGCTTATTTAGCGCTCAGGCCAAACGTCAAGCATCTGGCATTGGTGCCTCCGCGCTCCATTTTGATCACTAATATATATAGAGACGCATGCGCACACCCAATAAGAGAGCGACCAAAGTCAATTGGAAAATATTTTATCGTATTAGTTCAAAAATGGCAACTGATTAACGGGTAATCTTATCTAATACAGGTGTAGAGTAGTTTCAAGTTGTCTAAGCAAAATTTGTGACAAGCTGATCTAGAATACATGATACTAAGGAAACAAATATTCTAGAAAGACTTTGTGCCAACAATTTACATAACTTTTTATTTGTGCTCGTTTGGGAGAAATTATAAGTTGTTAAAATTATAAATTAATAAAAAATGAGTAATAAAAATGTGGATAGTAGTTATGGATATTAAGAAATATGTGAAAAATGAACATAATTATATAGCCCCAACTAAATTTTATGGAATTCAATATTATATCGTAGCATTTTATGTGCCGAATGGATTGAATTGCACTCCAAATTTTGCATGGAAAGAGAATAACCATTATTTAGAGAAAATATAGTTTTGAATAGTGATTTTTAAGAATTTTGTGGTTAAAAATCAGCATGTGAAAAAGAGTTTAAAAATAATAATTATCAAGCCCCTGTTTGTTTCTCATTTTTCATCCATAAAAATGAGAAATATGACCGTTATCCATAACATCAAATCATTAATTTTAATTTTCTATCTCTTGTGTGGGGGCCCAATAACGATTATATTTTTCATTCTCATTCTACAGTAATGAGAATCAAACGAGCCCTTGGGGACTTAAATATGTCCCATATAATTTGAAAATAATTGAAATGTATAATAATAATAATAATATCGACTTCGACTTGTAAATTATATGCTTTGTCTTTGGGGTTAAAGTATGTCCTATAAATTTGAAATATATAATAATAATAACAACTATTTTTGTTCCCTTCAAGGCCATTGAGGTGAGTACCCGGTTGTAAACTTCAGGGCCTCGTGGAATTAGTCGAGGTGCGCGCAAGTTGGCTCGAATATCCACGAATATCAATAATAATAATAATAATAATAATAATAATAATAATAATAACAGCCATTTTTGTTTCACAAAAATACTTACAATAATTCACCAAAAAGAAATCAAACTCATACCTAATCAAAATTAATATTTTAATCACAAAAAGTGAAAAAAAATAATAATAATAATATTTTTTTTTTTAATAAAAAGAACCTCCACCAGATCTTTTCTATATGGCAGATACGATCTCCGCCATTTCTGTCGGATAGCACTGTTGCTTTAAAAATAATAATTATCAAGCCCCTATTTGTTTCACATTTTTCATCCATAAAAATGAGAAATATGACCGTTATCCATAACATCAAATCATTAATTTTAATTTTCTATCTCTTGTGTGAGGCTCAATAACGACTATATTTTTCATTCTCATCTACAGTAATGAGAATCAAACGAGCCCTTGGGGACTTAAAGTATGTCCCATATAATAATTGAAATGTATAATAATAATAATATCAACTTCGACTTGTAAATTATATGCTTTGCCTTTGGGGTTAAATTATGTTCTATAAATTTGAAAAAAAAAAATTGAAATATATAATAATAATAACAGCCATTTTTGTTCCCTTCAGAGTTACTGAGGTGAGTGCCCGATCATAAACTTCAGGACCTCGTGGAATTAGTCGAGATGCGCGCAAGTTGACTCAAACATCCACGATTATAAAAAAAAATAATAATAATAATAATAACAGCCATTTTTGTTTTCCAAAAATACTTACAATAATTCACCAAAAAGAAATCAAACTCATACCTAATCAAAATTAATATTTTAATCACAAAAAGTGAAAAATAATAATAATAATAATAATTTTTTTTATAAAAAGAACCCCACCAGATCTTTTCTGTATGGCAGGTACGATCTCCGCCGATATCCGCCGTTTCTGTCGGATAGCGCTGCTGCTTTAGCTTTCCCGCCACCGACAACCGGCGTTTCTACTCCCTTTTTCTGATTTTCCTTTTGTTTGCTTGGATTTAAAAATGACTGAAGTACTCTGATCGCCATCACTGTGGCTCCTGTTCAAAAGGTCTTTAAACGTGCACCTCTTAGGAGAGCCAGTGGAGTTGCTCTTCTTACACCGCCCTTCCGCCGCCGACGACTTTGGCCTCCACGTGCAATAGGTTTCCGTCGGAACTTCGTGCAGATCATCCACCTCCGATGACGAAGAAGACGTCGTTTCACTCTGAATGAAAAGCTTCCTCAATGGAAGCCTAATCGGAGCCTGAGACGAAGAATCCGAATTTTCGACCCATAAGTCTTTATTGAAAATGGGGAAGAAGGGTCGGATCTGGCCGTTGAAGAAGATTTCATCAGCCGAAATTGAAGACGAAAACTCAGAATCACTGGTCACAAATGAAAACTCAAATTCTTCATCAACGTCATTTTTCGAATCTGCTTCATATTCTTCTTCAGTTTTTTGATAAAATTCTTCAGAATTGGACTGTTCTTCATTGAATTCTTCAACTACCCGAGCTGCAATTTCTACGAGTTTACTATTGGAGTAGCTACTGAAGCTCGGGGAGATCGAGAGCACCTGACCGGTCTGCATTATCTGTATCACCGAGAGCAAAACGAATATGGAAAAATCGAAGCAAATTAAGTAATGGAATTCTCTTGAAAAAAATTTCATGACTGGGTGAGATTATATAGGCGTGAATGGTTGGATACGCATTTGCAAAAGAGAAGAAAAAAGGCATATACGCGGGAGATGAAGGGTTATGTTTGTATGCGGTAAGGTGCAGGTAAATTTCTGGTCATCGTTGAAAAATTGGTGGTTCAGAATCAGACTTGAATTTTCGACTTTTGTCTGGTTTGTCAACAAAAATTGGGTGGTATGAAAAATTGGTAGTTCGGACTTGAAGTTTTTGACCTTTGACTGTCGTCTGGTTTGTCAACAAAAATTGTGGTATAAATGTACAACTTGTAGCATAAGAAATAAAATTGGATTTTTTAAACACTATTAGGCCATGTTTGATAAGGGTGAAATTTCGTGAAAAATGGAATTGATTTTCCATTTTCCAATTTTGTAAGTGTTTGATATGCTTCATTTTCTTGGCAAAATGTTTTCATAGTCTTGGTCTCACGTACACCATTTCATGGGAATTATTGAAAACCTTTTCCCACAATTTTTTATTTTTATTGGCAATTGAAACAAATTTCATAATCAATTGTAAAAAAAAAAAAAATTCACTTTAATGGACAAGTTCCATGTAAAACAAAGTCATGAACACTGAATTTTGATTAAAAAAATGATTTTTTTTGGAAAATAAAAAAAATTTGTTTTTTTTTTTTACTTTTTGACAATGGAAACAAATTTTATAACCAAATGTAGAAAAAATTATCACTTTAATAGATAATTTCCATGTAAAATAAAGTTAAACGAATACAAAATTTAAAAATTTTTCGGGTGGAAAATTATATTAATCAAACACACTTAATTAACAATTCCCTGCAAAACAATTTCTAAGCAATTACTTTCTCTGGAATTCATTTTCTTTCCACCCATTTTCCATCATCGCAATCAAACGGACCCTTACTTTGTTTGGTTAACGTAAATGAGGTAGTAATTTCCATTTTTTTAGTGTTAAGGATTCAAATTTGTTTGTAAGTGATGAAGTTCTAATTGAATTCAACAAAAAACACAGCTTTAAAAAATTATACGCGGAATTAGTATTTACGACGTGAAAGTTTCAGTTGAATATAAATATAAGTTGATAAAAAAGTAAATTACTTTTAAATATTACTATTGTACACCAAGACACTGCGCGAATTCGAATTCAAGTTCAACTTCATCTAGAAGTAAGATGAATTCTTATCTTCCACAAATTATGACATCAATGATAGGGCAAGTTCTTATCAAAAGCAAACATATGCGAACATTGTTTACATGAAAAAAATTAGAACAACACGTCTCTAAAATATATATTATATGTGTTCAAACATTAGTTCAACAATACAAGACTTGGAATCAAATAGTTTATATTGGAAATAGTCAATTTGCTTTATAATTTATGAAGGACAAATAATCATGTTACAATGTCAGAAAGAATGTAATTGAAAGATTGACATATGTGTAAGTGACAGTAGATGATTGAATGAAAAAGTTGACTGTATTTTAAATTATCCAATGATAAAATCCATGTGACATTACGTCAAAGTTTTTGATAATGTAACATTTCAATTGAGCTGGCAATAAAATAAAACAAAATAAAAATAAATGAAATGACATCCTCTCGCGGCTTTTATTGTCTCTAGTTTATTTATGACAAAATCCAAGGTTAAGGAGCATTGAGGATAAAGATGATGAAAATGAGAAGAATCGCAGGATTGTGAAGTGACAATTTAAGTTTTGAAGGCTAAAAATGAAATTATGTGCATTTCACTCGAGCAAAGTTAACATTGCTCGAGTTAAGCTAATACCTCACTGCAATCAAAGTTCGTGCTAAAGAGGAAAAGTTGCAATTATATTTCGCTCAAGCGGAAATTTTCTTAATGCACGCAGTTTCTCTAAAAACTCGATAAAATAAAGAAAAACTCTCTAATTCACTATTAAACAAGTTGGCAAATGTTTGACATAAGTTTCTAATGTATAAATTAACATAATTAAGCAAACAAAATGATGAATTAGTAGTTGAATTTCTAGATTCAATGTAGCCATTAATGAAGTAAACATTGTGTGGAAGTAAATGGACCTTTGGAGTATTATTTGAGTGTATTGTCTGCAGGCCATAACCTCATCTTAGTTATTACAATTAAACTCAAGATTCACCATAGTTTTCATGTCATTCTCTTTTCTTCTAAGGATTATTTATATTTGAAATCATGGTATACACATTGTCCAATTAGATATGAATAACACGTGCAATTTAGATAATGGAGATTTTTAAAATCTTAAAATGAGTTTAGTACAGTATTACATCAATTTGGTGATATGTGCTGAGGGATATATATATATATCTCATATCGATAAATAATGTTGACAAAGATTAATTAATAAAGATATTGGACTACTCCTCTTAACAAGGTTGACCTTTTAAGATTGAACTCCAAATCTTAACATGGTATCAGAGCCCATTATGCTCCAACGAGCGATTCGATCCAGTTAAAACTCTAAAATGAGCACGTGAATTTCAAAATTGATCTGCTCAAATGAGCCACTATCTTGCGGGGGTGTGTTAAGGGATATATATCACACATCGATAAATGATGTTGACACATATCAATTAATAAAGATATTGGGTTACTCCTCTTAACAAGATTGACCTTTTAAGATGGAACCTCAAATCTTAACAATATGAAAGGGTGTTAATGTGAGTTGAGCTGTTCAAGTTCGAGAGTCCAACACAGGTCTTGTCGTGACCTGCATGTTTAGGACTCTGCTTCCCCTATTAACATTATCTCATCATCCTCTTTGAAGGCTAGACCATATTTCCGGACTATTGTAGCATGTCAATACATGAATTGTGATGGGTTAATTTCACTAGCGGTCACCTCGTGGGTCATTATACTTCAACTTGTGTCAATTATGTCATTACCTTTCCCACTAAAATTATTTTCTCTGTATAAATTATATTTATATTATCACTTTTCAAGCTCAAAGAGTAAAATTATTTCTCGTATAAATTTTATATCTTGAATTGGTTTTAGAAACAAAATCAAAGGCTGTATCGGAGCATAAATCTGTTAACCGAACTACTGATTAATCCAAACCAAAATCAAACGATATTTTATCAAATGGGATTCTGTTGAACTCTGTCAACTGGGTGGAGACGGATTCCGTCCCAGCTATGGATGGATAATAACAAGGTCCATAGTTCAGTGACCAACAAGTTACATTCAAAAATTTGGTTCAATGACCATTGATGTATTTTGCCCAGTACAAGGACTTCACGAACACTGTAACAAAAATAAATACAAAGGTCCTGTTACTATAACTGAATATGCGTTTTCATTAAAGACCTCAAAATTGATCCAACATTAAAAGATAGGAGTAGCACCAATACTATTTGTTAGTCGATGCAAACTACTCCTAAAGTCATCCAAATGCACAAGTTTATCCTGATCGACTTCAACTACAATATCTTGAAGGAAAAAAGTGCAACAAAGTACCACGTATGTCTACTGTCTGAACGAATGATCAAGCTCATCTACGAATGTTAGTAGTAACCTTGTCAACGTTTCAGTTAGTTATGCCTAACGCAGAGACGTCATCCATTCCTGCAAGCCCGAGTTCTCCCCTCGATTGTTGCAGTTACGCAAGAAGCTGATTTGAGGTGCTTTCGTCTGCCAATATCAAACGTCAATATATTGGTCAGGACAATGAACCCAAGCAAAATGGCAGAGATGAAACCTTATAATCAACAAAAACAAGAACAAACTGAAACACGGATGAACGAGATTTTGACACATAAGTTGTATTCCATTTTCACACTGATATTTCACTTTCACAAAGTGATCTTCAATTCTTTTGTGATTTAGTTCGTGTAGGACAACGTACCTTGTCCATGTGAGACTTTATAGTCACAAGCAACAACTTGTCCCCTGCTATATTTCTCAATCGTTGAATAAATTCATGCCGTGTGATCTTCTTCTCCTGAAGTTAAAGATTGAGAAGTAAGAAACATAAATTACACCGATGAAGTAGATGCCTGTATTTTACATTAGTAGAGTATAAATGCGTACTTTATGATCGCCGTAATGCTTCGCTATCATTTCGTTCGCATCAGAAGGTAAGAACTTCGAAAGCACTTTTGTGAGAGCAGAAAACGGAATAAAATCCGAACTTGGTCTTCTCAGAGGACGAGAAATCCTTTGATAACCTGAAAAGTACATTGCCAATTTCATTTAAAATTTACATATAGATAATAACGATCTGTCGAAAAGGAAAAAAAAGTTCTATATTCCTCACCTTCCAAACGAGTTGAAGATCTGAAACTAACAACGTATTCTGGCAAGATGTGAGTATTCAAGCGCGTGCTCCAAACAATATACTTTTTAGGAGAAGCTAAATTGTCAACCCCAGAATCAAATTCCTCGGAACTTGGATTAGACTGTCGTGAATCAGGACGAACAATCTCCGTTCTTCCCAATAGAACACGACAGAGTAACAAATGCCTTAGTCCATCCTCGTCAGCAACAGAGGATCTAAAACTGTTACGTAAAATCAAGTTAGCACGAAAACTAAACCTCAATACAACAATCTAATTCAGCTAAGCAACAATTCGAGTACTTTCATATAGCAGTACCTTCCAGTAGGGTGATCGGCAGCAGAAAGACAAATCCCACCTCTGTATGCTCCAGTATTCATGGGATGGCCAAAACCATGTAAAAGGATGTCGTTGAGCTCATTCTTGGAAGCGCCATACCATGCGTATTTCACATTGGCGCCGCCCCTGAAATTTTGATCCATTGCTCGTGCATATATACAAAACGACTGATACTTTGCTTGACACATAGCACCGGAATATACCTTCTTATGTATGGCCTCAACTTCAGTATGCAATCCACAATTACTCAAACTAGAAACAAATTTATTCTTCATTATCTCATGCATCTTATCCTCTTCATGAACTCTGATTAAGCCGTTCTCGAACATGCGATTTTCTTGCATGTTTCCGGTACCAGAAACCCCGCTTTCACAATCAGAAGCAACAGAAGTTTGCTCACACCGATGTTCAAGATTAGCCTCAGAAGCCGGAGTTTTGGTGTTTGAACTATATGGACATTCATCAAACAGTTTAAGGATTTTGATTTGTGGTGAAGGTTGATACCCCATTGCATAGCAATCGGTTGATCCCATTGAATAAGAAAAGTACAACCTTGGGACAAAAGTTAACTTGGTCTACAATCCAATTAGAAAAAATCGAGATATTGGGTCTGAAAATTAAATTCAAAACCAAGAAAAAGAACAAAGAAAGAAGTCCAAGTAGATGGAAAGAATGAGAATGCAGAAACACAAAAGGGTAAATATAGATTGAAAGAAACTATTAATAGCTCAAATAAACATAAATTAAAAAACCCATAAGCACATTCTTGAACAAAATTCAAGTAAAAATAAATTACGCCCAAAAGAATTAAGAAAAAGAACTTTAGAGCTTAGAAAGAACAGTTGGGAATTGGAAGGATTGAATTTGAAACTATTCCCTGAGACTGGAAGTAAATTGGTTCATATAATGTGTGATGAATCCTCCTGATGCAGATGAGTTGCCAGATTCATGCGGTTACTTGGGGAAGAGGGTTTTAAGAATGAGGTAGAAATAGTATAGCTATCCAATGTAGAAGGGTAAAGAGATAGAACCGCCACAAGTTTTGTGGCAACCTGTTTTCGTGGGCGGTTCCTGAGGCCATGCGTGTACGACTGTATCTCATCTGTTAGTTTCTTTTGTGGGTACAGTCTGGATTATTTCACGCCGACGTTTTTAATTAGATGGTTTGAGGCGGGCTTACAATTTTGACCTTTGACATTGTGTTTATTATTTATTTATTTCAGGATTAATTATATCATTGTCCACTTTTCACATTATTACTTCGAATTTTGAAACCTATTTTATTGATATTGAATCGTTTTATTCATTCCTGATCGATTTCATTCGATTTTTTCATTTTTATTTTTTGACAAAATTGCCTATATGACAGGCAGGAATATGATATATCACAAATTAAATTGTGTTCACATCAACAAAATAAAAAAATAAAATTAATAAATGCTATCTTCCCTATCCACTTAAGGGCAAACTGCCCATTTCGCTCTTTTCCCAAATCCCACAAAAAAAAAAAAAATATTGTTTTTCTTCAATTTCCATATTCCGCTAAAGAGTAAGAAGACATCAAAAGCAAAATCCAAGAAGAACCCACTTTAAAATTTAAATGATATAATAAAACTGATTCAATGTTTACTGACGAATGAAACACATTTATATTAAGTAATTAACCCATTTACTCGATAGAGAAGCCCTTTGCCATTTGTTTAACTCGGAGACTATGTTTGAATTTCGTGTAGTGTCATCTTCAACCTACTTTGTTCGTTGTTTGCCCATTGTGGTGTGACCACTATATAATTGGGTGGTTTGGAGAATGTAGATATAGGTGGCATATGATTGTCGTCAACTCAAGTCATAAGGTTTGGTAATTCCTAACTTATTTCCATGATTGTTTAGACTTCATTCAATTGACAAGAAAATTTTATCCTAGGAGAAGAACAGAAATGATTGATACACTGTAACTCAGCACTCGGTTGACTGAAAATGGTGGAGTTGTGTTGTGGCAATGACAGGTAGTTGTGGGTTGTTTGCAATTGCGTCGATGGTGGCGATGGATGCTATTGCGGTGCTATGGTGTGGGAGGTTGGGTGACAATTGTGCAGCACAATAAGGATGTGTGGATTTTGGTTTGGTTTTGGTTGGAGTGTGTGTTCGGATTTGAAGGTGAGGGTTGGAAAGAAGATAATTCTTTTACAATTTTTTTTTGTTTCTTTTTAGGTTAGATCGTTAACTTTTGGACAACTAATTGTATAATTGACGATTTTCGTTATTTTATCCTTGTGTTGTGATTATTTTAAAGGTTCACACTGTGAATGAAGCAAATGAAAATTTTAAATAAAATCTGAAAAAAGGAAAATGTTTTGGATCATTGCAATTATCCCATTGATGTATGATTCATTCGGAGAAGAAATGACATTAGACGGGTTTGAGTTCGATTTTAAAGAATTAAAAATATTATTAATATTTTCAAGAAACACACACTTACAAGGGGGTGGGGGGGTAATTTTGTTTTTTGACCTTTTTATTGTGCGGACCCACCCAACTCTATGAGCTCAATCTTCTCTGCAAATGGAATTTCTCTATTTCCGAAATCTTATCCAAAATGGTTCTTAAAAGTGCAAATGTGTGCAGCCCTTCACGTGGGATACGTAAATTACAAGTTTGACCTTTGAAGCTCTCTAGGAGCAATTTTAGGAAAGTGGCGCATGTTCAATGTTTGCGTGTGTATAAAGTGTTTTGGTTTCAGCTAATTCATTAATTATAAAATTAATCTTTAGCTTTGGGACAGAGAATTAAAGGAGTAAATAATGCTGCAAGTTGAACATGTGAGATAAACGTCGGCTGATGGAAAGAAGAAAAAAAAATTGTTACCAAGTTTTATTCAAATAATCATATACTTAAATCATGGTACATTTACTCGATAAAATATTGTTATATATGAATACATAATTTTTTTTTCTACATTTATCCTCCAAAATGTAATTTTCACAAAATTTATTCTAAATCGTACACTTTTTCTTTTATTTGAATAACATGTTAGTAACTTAAAGTTAATTTCAATCGCACATTCAAATTATCACTCAGAATGATAATATAGATTATATTAATTGACTTTTTTTTCTTTTATCTTTTTTCCTTCTTATCACTCTATACATCAATCGGTAAACTATTATGTACGAATGTCATAATAAAATTTATATTCCTACATGCTTTAATTTTTAATTCAAAATTTTCAACCAAAATAGGAAAAATAACTCACATTTGGAAATACTTTGGTTGGCTCGATCGATATATATAGGGTGTTTGGTGGGGGATTTTAGTGGATTGTGATAAAAGTTTTTGAAATGTGTGGTTGAAAAGATGTGGGGCCCATAAAAGATATGATTAATATTGATTGTTTGACTTTGATTTAGATTAAAATTAGATTTTAATCCGACCCAAATAGATCATAATTGTGTGCTCAATAAATTGTACTCGCATTCAACTTTAACGAGAAAAATGAACCTCACACAGTATAAGTCCTCGTTCGTTTCTCATTTTTCATCCATAAAAATGAAAAATATGATCGTTATTCATCACATCAAACCATCAATTTTGAATTTCTATCTCTTGTGTGGAGCTCAATAACGACTACATTTTTCATTTTCATTCTACAATAATGAAAATCAAACGGCACAAACATAATTCATGTATCAAAATGAATATTTAAATAATGTACAAAATGTTTAATTTAAATATTTAATTATTAAATCAAATGATTCAATGCAATGAAGCTCGGTAAGCTAAAACAAAAAACCGGAAATGACTTCCAAACGAGTATCTAATAAGGCCCACCTCTCGAACACGCTGCAAGTCGTATGCTAGTGGCATTTGATATAAATAAAAATAAAATTAGAGCAATGCTATTTATCATTACTGATGTTTAATATCAGTTTAGGTGATAGCACAAATAGCATTAAATTGTTGGTTCAATTAAGCCCCCGTTTGACACGCATTTTTTCAAAATACATTTTTCCAAAACTCGTTTTCAGCCACACATTTTTTAATAAAATAATATTTTTATCACATCAATTATTTTTTCTTACTTTTTAACCACATATTTCTCATATATCACTATTTAAAATACATTCATTTTTCAATAATATCCATCAAACACTCCCTAAATATAAAGAATTATGTCTCATTTATGGTGTGTTTGAGTCACGTTATTTTGGAAGAATGTATTTTGAAATTTGAGTCACGTTATGTCTCATTCATTGATAGATAATATGTGGTTGAAAAATAAGGAAAAAGTTATTGATGTGATGAAAAATATCATTTTATTAAAAAATATATGGTTGAAAATAAGTAGAAAAATGAAAATGAAAATTTTAATCTAACTCAAACAATGGCTTAATAGGATTAAAGATACGTTGCCAACAGCATTCATAAAATTATAAGTGCCTGTTTGAGGTTCACTTATTATATTATTATTTTTATTATTATTTTTTTTTTTGTAAAAATGCAGTTTAAATTATTATTTCGTTGGAGAATATGTGATTAAGCTCGTTCACATTCTTCTCAAAATTAATTATTTCAAAACTCATTCTTTAATAGATAATATTATACATAAATTTAGAAATTTTCTTTATTTTTTAACCATGTATTTTTATCACATCGCATCAAATCCTAAATCATCCCCCGAAAATTGAGAAAAAATTTTAAATTTATGTGTAAAATTATTTGGTTTAAAATGAACTTTGAAAAAGATGTCTTTTCCAAAATGATTGTTGTGGACGTTATTTTGTCAATAACTTTATAACCCAGTAGCGTAACTATTTTCCAAAACAAAGGAGCCAAACAGTTGAATTAAACAAAGAAGCATCACGCTTCAAATCCTCAAAAATTCAGCTCATTTTTAGAGAAAAAATAGCTTTAAAAATTCTAATTTTCAGAAATTTCTTGGCTTGAGAGAATTTTGATTGAGGAAAAAGCATAAATGTTATAGCATTTTTCAATTTTTCGATTTCCCATGGCTGAATTAGAAGAATTAAAGAAAAAGCTCGTCCCTTTATTTGATGCAGAAAAGGGTTTCTCACCCGGGTCAACAATTGACCCGTCTGATTCCTACATGGTAAATTAAAATTCTCTTTTGTTGTATTTTTCTGTTCAAAATTTCGCTGAAATTGTTTGATTCTCGGTGAATTTTAATTTTTTTTAATTAATTTATTGGAAGCAGTTATCGGATGGTGGAACAGTGAATTTGCTGAGCAAATCTTACAATGTTTATAATATCAATGAGCTTGGCTTGCAAAAGTGCAGTTCATCATCTCCATTTTCTGAAGATGATACTGAAAAAACATACAGGTGTGCTTCTCATGAGATTAGGATTTTTGGGTCCATAGGCAGTGGTGCAAGTAGTGTTGTTCAAAGAGCCATTCATATTCCCAATCACAGAATTATTGCTGTCAAGAAGATTAATATTTTTGAAAAGGTTTGTATATTGTGTATCTATACATGTAGTATGCCTTTCTTTTATGCATTCTTTTCATGGGGTTGTTTTAAGTATTTCTTTTATGTTAACTAATATCTGTTGCTAATATTTAAAATTTAGTTCGAGATGACTGACCTTAATTATTCAAGCATTTTCGGGGTTTTGGTATTGAAATTTCAAAAAATGCTTGTTAAAAATTTGTCGTGGACTGGTGAAGATTTTTCTCTGATACAGATTTTCTTCTCTATCTTAGCATTTTTGAATAATGATTCGAACAACTAGTTTGAAGGATACTATTAGATGAAATTTAGTTATGAATTTGAAGCAAGTACTTTTGTGCATCAGAGAGAGAAGGGGTGACTGGAGCATGTGAGGAAGTTTAAAATATTTTAGAGATTGGGTTCATTTCCAGTTCACACTATTTTCGTGTTCATATCAGGAGAAGAGGCAACAACTTCTTACTGAAATACGGACGTTGTGTGAGGCACCCTGTTATCAAGGTCTTGTAGAATTTTATGGAGCTTTCTATACTCCGGAATCCGGGCAGATAAGCATTGCTCTAGAGTACATGGATGGTGGATCTCTAGCAGATGTCATTCGTGTAAGAAAGTGTATACCGGAGCCAGTTCTTTCTGCTATGGTGCAGAAGCTCTTGCATGTAAGATGCTTTATTTAGTTTCAGTTTTGTATTCTTATTGAAAAAATAAATTTTTTCAACTCTTTGTATTTTGATTGTCTTTGATTTTTTGCTAAGGGACTGAGTTATTTGCACGGAGTTAGACATTTGGTACACAGGGATATAAAACCTGCAAATTTGCTTGTAAATCTCAAAGGGGAGTCAAAGATTACAGATTTCGGTATAAGTGCTGGCTTAGAGAATTCTATGGCTATGGTATGTATTAGGTCTCCTATGGCTATGCTGTGTGATGAATTCTTCTGACTTATTGTTTGTTTTGCTATTAGTGTGCAACTTTTGTTGGAACCGTTACATACATGTCACCTGAGAGAATCCGAAATGAAAGTTACTCTTATGCTGCTGATATTTGGAGCCTTGGACTTGCGCTTTTTGAGTGTGCTACGGGTGAATTTCCGTACACTGCTAATAATGGGCCTGTCAATCTTATGCTGCAGGTAAAAATTCTACGATTTCCACCGGGATAACACATATTCTTATTGGTCCTGTCTTTCAGTTATTCTTAATTTCCGTAAAGGAATTATCATGTAATGCTTGCTAGAATACAAGTTCTACTTCGAATCAAGGTTGGATGTATATATTCTTCATTGTGCAAATGTTTCATATATATAGTTAATCCTTTTCTTTTATCAAATGATTCTGAAGATGATTCAAATGTGTATGAGGTACTCATAGAAAAAATATACATCATGCATTGACCTCTTGATACATTCAGGTTCCTGATAAGTATTATAGAAAGTTATTTTAATGTTTGACAGACAGTAGGAAAGTTGTTTTTCTCCTTGAGGCATACAATTTGAATATTAACCTTATGACGTGGCATTATTATTCTGTAACAACAGATCCTTGATGATCCATCTCCATCCCTGTCAAAACAAAATTTTTCTCCTGAGTTCTGTTTATTTGTTGATGCTTGCCTCCAGAAAGATCCAGATTCAAGGCCAACAGCCGAGCAGGTGAGCATCAGGTAGATTCTGGATTCGTGTTCTGCTTAATGTGAAAAGTGAAAACATAATGAGGTGCTAGAACATCCCTGTGAGTTAGATTTGTACTGTAGGTATTAAAAATTGGACATTGGCATGTGAATAACAGTTATATTGCTTCCATTGAGACTAACACAAAGGTTTGTGAGGACCCCCAGTATGAATTTTAGTTATATTCTTTTTCTACGTGACGACATGTCTAAGTAGTTAAAGTCTTTGGCAAAGAAGTTGTTTATTGTATTCAGTCACTCAAGTACTGGTATGTGGTCTGATGTTGCTTTCTTGAAGTATAAATTGATATAATATTACAGTCTCAACATCAAATATCATATGAGATATTATGAATGCCCATTCAAATTTATTAAATGGTTAGAGAACAAAAACATCTGTAAAGTGCTAATTACAATTGATACAAGTTAGTGGACAATGTCAGGTCCCTTGTCCAAGGTTAAGTGTCCAATACAGATATTTTGTGCACTGAGAAGAGTTGAGTAACATGGCATGCATAGGAGAGTACTAGTTTAATTATATTGGGAAATCTAGGTTCTTATTCTCCCTTTCCATTTTTTGTTGAAGTAACTTCCTTTATAATGATGGTTGATCATAACTTTGGTGCATTTTGTTGCGATAAGTTATAATAAAAAATCAGTTATTGTAGTAGGTTCTTATCTTCTATTTATGTTTTCATTTATAAAAATAAGCCAGATCTTTAGCAATATGCAAACTATATTGGTATTAAGTTCATTAATCCACTGAAACTTTTTATATATGTTGTGAGAGTAATCAAGAAATAATTTTGGCGTAAAATGAAGGTTTTAGAGAATTATATTGATTTTCTATGTGGAAGGTTGACTATGAAAATTGAACACTATTTATTTGTTAAGTAGGCCATTGGAGCAGCACTTAGAGGATAAGATAGACCTTATGATTTTCTCCCCCTTTTAAAACTTAGTGGTTGGAACATAGTAGTGGAAAGTTTATTTAACGTACATGTATTATGTAATTTATTTGAAGGGAAAGATGAACCGTAGGAGTTTCACTTGAAGTCATTCAATCCAGTATTTTTATTTATCTTTGTGCATATGCTGCAGCTTCTTTCACACCCCTTTATTACTAAGTATGAGGATGCTGGGGTCGACTTGGGCACGTTTGTGCGAAGCATATTTGATCCTACACAGAGGATGAAGGATCTGGCAGATGTGAGTTAATACATGCATTTTTGGATAATCCATCCAATTTTGCTAGGCATTGTCCTAACATGTTATCTTCATGAAGGGAAAAATAATATTTTATGCATACCTAATGCTATCTAAATTTTGAATAGGTCGACAATGAATTTATTTTTATTATTCTACAGGTGTAACGTATGAATGGCATTTGATGCTGACTCTATGCTGTGTTTGACTTGAACAGATGCTGACAATACACTATTACTTACTTTTTGATGGGTCGGATGATCTTTGGCATCATATGAAGACGTTATATGTAGAAAATGCAGTTTTCAGGTAACGATCATATCAATTACCTTTTCCATTATTTTCTCTACAGTTTTGATCTGGTTATTGATGGAAAGTGAAGAGCTTTGGGTGTAATCTTCATTTTGGGAACCAATTGCCTTAGTGTAATGACACGGCATCTGTGCCGAAGTTGCTCAATTGGTACTAGAATTTAACTTAATTCTCTCATAATACAAAGATTTTGGATTTGAATTCTAGGGGACATGAGAAAAGCCGTAAGGGGTAAGAGGGTAGAAGTCCTTACAAAGTGGACAATACGTAATATGTTAACGTCTTGTGCGCAGAGGCTGGGTCGTTACACTAGGTCTGAAGAGAAGTGTCTAAAATATTTATTACATATGCACCTCCAAATAATACTTGTGCAAATTGAAGAATTGAAAGTTTTGACTGTGATTTTGTACGAGTTTCCTATTTCTGATACAAGCCATCATGATTTCTAGTTTTGGTGGGAAAGAATCTCTTGGCCCAGATGATATTTTTACGGCACTATCAAATATTCGTCGAACATTGGCTGGCGAATGGCCTCCGGAAAAACTTGTGCATGTCGTGGAGAAGCTTCAATGCCGCGCTCAGGGTGAAAATGGAGTTGCAATTCGGGTCTCAGGGTCATTTATTGTTGGAAATCAGTTCCTGATATGTGGAGATGGTGTACAAGTAGAGGGCTTGCCAAATTTTAGAGACCTTTCAATTGATATACCTAGCAAGCGAGTAGGGACGTTTCAAGAGCAGTTCCTTGTAGAACCGGGGAACATAATTGGCCGCTACTTCATAACTAGACAAGAGCTTTATATCGTTCAATAAATATTAAACAGCGAAGGATTTTTCCTACTGTCAGGTAATTGTGTACATGGGTTTTTACTAAATAAGTTTTTAGCATTACAAAACTGAGTTTTTGATCTTTCTAATTTATCTACAGGATACGGTCCTGAATGTCATCAACTGCAACCTTATCTTATCAGCAATTGGGTTCTAATCATGCCATTTTCTTTTTCAGCGTCGAAATTAGTTGCGATATGTCATAATTATTTTGGATTCTAAGATCTTCCATTGACGTCTTCAGGATATTACGTCGCAATAATGGTTCAGCATCCAGTTGTCATATGCTGAAAGTAATTTTCTTGTACAATAACTGTCTGTTGTATCATTAGTAAACGATTAAAACCATCCATCTAGCAAGAACTTTTACCAAGACCTTTAATTAGACCGTATATTGAGTCCTGATTGTATAGCTTGGATTTATAATGGGGATACATATGATGTTGAAGTTTCATATTTGTGCATGACTGAGAAAGCCTGTCTGATAAACCTTTATCATATCATAACACCTCAACAGTATGCAACATTTTTCCAGTAGAATTTATGCCATAAGATTCGACAAAGTTTTATGCATGCTATGAAAATAGTGCAAGTCCATACTCTAAATTTTTGGACTTGCTATGAAAATCATAAGCAGTGTTCTCAATACTTACAAGAGTATCAATTAGAAAATGTACATTGTTTGAATTAATTCAATTCTGTTGCCATTAGATTTGCTGCTTCCTGAAAATTTGAGCATTCAATTACTATATTTTGCTTTTCTTCAGGGCTATGTTCAACAAGGTCTTGAATTATACCCCCAATTGTTCACATTAAGGCTAATATTTCAGATATTTGTTGAATCTCTAGTAAGATCATGCAAAATTTTGAACCCGGTTTTATTGATAAACCAAAGATTTTATTGATTATAAGATGTGAGCTCACAAAATGTGTGGACAATAATTAGGTAAGAATTGTGGATCCTACAAATTTATAGAAAACAGTAAAGTTTGATCAATTTCTAAGCAATTATATGTTTTGCATACTCTAATCTTTTCATTCAAGGAATTTCAAGCAAAGAACAAGTCCTTTATTGGTGTAGATTAAAAGTTGATATATTTTTTAAATCAAAGTCAATAATTAATTTTAATTATATATTTAAATTTATAAAACTTAAAATTTTTTAACCATATCTTTTTTGCATTCAAACATTTTGATTTTTCAAAATGTTGTAGGCTTTAGAATTTTTTTTATTTTTTTTTCAAAATTATATGTATGGAAAATTTTAAGTCTGTTCATATTTATCGGACTCGGTTCGATTGTTGACCTGACAAAATCATTGGATTAATGAGTTAATGATTCAATCGGTGCATCAGTGGTCAACCAAAGGGATGGTACTAGCCTATAAATTTAATTAAAATATATTTTTAAACAAAATGACAACCATTTTGCAAAATTTAAATGCATGTGTTATAATGGTCAAGGAAGTCATATTACTTGGTGGGAGGCCCTGGTTCCAATCTATGCCTTTGATAAATTGAAGAAAAATTTTTCGTGGCACTTTGATAACAACCGTTTTCACATTGAACTGGTTCCGATTTTCTATTAAATCGGTTTGAACTGGACGCTTATTGAGTGGTCCAATCAATTCTTGATTGATACCTTGCTGGTTTGAACAATTAATGTACTTGGTCCGGAGCACTACCGATTGCCGGTTCCCATGGCAAATAGGTCGGTCCGAGTTCATTAACTATGGATCTGTTTGGTTTAGATTTTTTGAGAATAAATTTTGTTAAACGTGACTTTTTGGAGTATGTGAAATTAAAAAGTAAGAAAAATTTATGATTCCACATGTAACATTATTTTATTAAAAGAATGAGTGGTTAAAAATAATTTTGAAGAAAAATGAATTTTAAAGAATCCGTATCAAACATGAACTATGTTTCTTATATTATAGTTACAATATAACTATATAATTTATTATTAATGTCGTCGAGTTTAAATGATGTTATACAACGTATCCCTAATATGTATGATACAATAAGCCCATGTTTGATAATCATTTTTTCAAATCGTTTTTTTTTTTCTCATAATCATTTCCAGCCCCTATTTGATTCCATTAACTTAACTTAATTATTTTTCATTATTATTTTCAACAACACATTCATATAATAAAACATTCTACTCGTAAATCTAAATATTTTTCATTAAAAACATAGTTTTTTTTTTAATTAAAGGCCACCAAATAGGGGCTCAATCACACATTGTCACATTAAAAGAATTTCCACGTAAGCGCAACACTTTTTTCTACTTTTAACACACCTCTACAAAAAAATACTATTCAAAAACTCATCTTTTTTTTTTTTTTTTTGGAAAAAATGGCTGTCAAACGGCCTCAATGTTATGAGTGACACCGCCAACGCGAGTAAACACTTTATACATAAACATTGATCATAAGCCATTTGATCCTTTTTTTTTTTTAGAATATTTTTGGAAAAAATGAATTCTTACGGAGAATGTATAATTTAAAAGTATTAAAAAAAATTAGATTTACTTATAAAATTCTATTATCGAAGAGAATGTGTAATTGAAAACGAATTTGAAGAAAAATGAGTTTTAAATAATTGAGCTCAAATATTAATACAAAAGTTGATGAAACATGTGATTTTCTTTATTTTTTCCACACAATATGCAAACTGCAAAAACACATTTAGAAAACTAGTTATGATGTTAAAAACGAAAATAAGAAACTATATTGTTTAATTTTGCCAAAAATAAAAATTTAACCGAATTTTAATAAAAGTTGATGAAACGTGTGGTTAAATAATTAATCTTTTGAAACCCTAATTTATCAATTCCCCCCCCCCCCCACCCTCCCTCGTCCCTCTCTCCATCGCCTCTCTCCTTACCCTCACCCTCTCTCCATCGCCTATCTCTCCTTACCCGCCGCCTCCTCCCCTTCTATCTCCTCTACTCCCTTCCCCCTCCCCCTCACTCTTACTCTCACTCTCTTCCCTGCCGGCGTTGGGAGCCGTTCACAGCGTCGAGGCATTGCTGTGAATCACAGCAGCGCCTGACGCTGCTGTGGCTGATGGGTGGGTGTGTGCAGGTTTTCAGCGTCGTGAATGTGGCTGATGGGTGGGTGTTGTGGCTGATTGGTGACTGTGGCTAATGGGTGACTGTGGCTGATAGGTGGCTGTGTAGAGGTCTTCAGCGACACTGCTGTGGCTGATGGGTGGGTGTGTGGAATCCGTGTGGTAGATCTGTGTGTGTGTGTGTGTGTGTGGCGGTCCGTGTGGTGGCGGTCTTTTTTTGTTATTGTTGTAGCGATAGTTGTGGTGGTGTTGTGGCGGGGTCGACGACGATGGTGGTGATTTTCTTAGTGTGGTGGTGCAGGCGGCGATGAGATGATTGTTTTTTGTTATTATTATGGCAGTGGTTGTGGTGGTGGTGTGACTGAGTGACGATGATGGTGGTGCTGTGCAGGCGGTTTGGGTGGTGGTTGTTGTTGGTGTTATTGTTGGTGGGTGGATGTGGCGATAGAGGCGGCGGGCGGATGGAACGAAGAGCGTCTGTGACCAACTATTTGGTCCCGTGACCTTAAAATTCATTAATCTATGACTCAATATTTAATCTGTGACCAACAAATTTGGAAATATGTGATCTCTGTTATCTACAATTTTTTAAACTTGTGACCAATTAAAAATCTGTGACCTATAATTTTTTTGATCAGTGACCAATGAAATCAATTGTGACCTATAAATTTTTTGATTTGTGACCTCGAATAATTTGTAACCAATTAATTTGATAAGTTGTGATCAAAAATTAAATTTTTAACTACTTAATAAAATATCTGTGACCTCGAAATTGGAGCATTTACCGAAATTAAGCGGCTGCGAACGGTCACCAAAATAATCGCCGGAATTAAGTGCGGCAGAGGAACAGTCGCCGGAGTAGTCGCCAGAGCAGTAGGGGTGGTGGAGGTGGGGTTGATTAATTATATTATATTACAGTTAAATATTTAATTTAATATAATAATTGTAAAATATAATTAATCAATTCATGAAAAAACCTGTTTTTTATAATTCTAAAATTTGGGGCCTGATTTTTGATTTTATAATAGATAGCACCCGATTCATGAATTTTTCCCCTTTTTTATGAGGGAANTACCCTTAAAATTAGGGATGTTTTGAAAATTCATGTGAAAGGTTTTTATGAATTAAAAAATACTGTGTAAAATAAAAAAAGTGACGCAATGTCACTTTTTTTTATAAAAATTGTCACTTTTTTACTTTTTTAAAAAAAAGTGACACAAACTCAAAAAAAGTGATAAATACCAACATAGCACCATCCATTTGGATAACATTAATAATCACGTTCTTAAAATAATCACCACGTTCATGTCAATCCACATGCTGATTATGTTAAGAAAATATAACATATTATTTCATTTTTTTATTTTCTTAAAAAGTGACAAAAACTTAAAAGGTGACAAAAAACTAAAAAATGATAAAATTAAAAAAAGTGATAAATTTTAAAAAAGTGTCGAATTCAAAAAAGTGGCACAAATTAATTATTAACGCCACCTAAATTGGAGTTGTAACCCCAGTGGGGTTAAATAGCATTACTCCTGAAAAAAGTGATAAACACTAAAAAAAGTGACGAATTCAAAAATGTGGCACAAATTAAAAGAAGTTATACAGATTAAAAAAATGACAGACAATAAAAAAAGTGACACACTCAGAAAGTGACAAAATAAAAAAAAAAAAGTGACAAACTCAAAGAAGTGACGATTTTTTTTTTTAAAAGTGACAAATTAAAAAAAAAATAGTGAGAAATTTCTACTAAGAGTTTTATATTTTAGCATCGATAAATAATATGAAGGGTCCATTATATTATGAATTGATTCTAGTGAAAAATTGTTGTCATATAATCCCCAAGTCAGAGGATCAGATCTTGGCTTGGCTTGGCTTGTCTTGTGTTGTCACTAGATTTTACCAGGCCAATCCAGTTTCTGATCAGTCGATTTTCAGCTTGAATTAGACGGTCCAATCTGATTTTAATCACAAATGCAGTGCTAAGAAACAGCTGGTAGAAGCAGAAAAATGATAGATTACATCGAAATGCATTATAG